GGAGGGAGGGAGAGAGGGAGGGAGGGAGGGAGGTAATGAGGAAGTAATCATGTGCAAACCTGTCATTCAGCGCCACCGCTATCCGGCAGCCTCGGATGAAACATCTCTCTATCTCCGCATGCGCATCCTCCCCAAACGCTACGCCATGAAGTACCCGATCGATCATGGAGTTCTCTGCCGTGAAATTGCTGGTCAGGACCCTCCTCGTCCTCGTCCTTATCCTCGTCCTCGTCCTCGTCCTCTACTACCACTCATCCACACACGTTTTCGTATTCCTTGTCCTGCTCCTGCTCCTTGTCCTGCTCCTTAATGCATGTACCTATTCTTGCCCTAACGTGGTGTTCTCCTCCAACTCCGACGTAATGCCCGAGGGCGATTCGATGCGAGAGGAGCCCAAGGTAGCATCCACGAACAAGAATCTGGACCAAGTCGTCATCCTCCCCCTCCTCCTCCTCCTCCTCTCCTCCTCCTCTCCTCCTCCCCATTTCCATCCTCTTCCTATCCTCCCCCTTTCCTTCCTCCGCCCCTGCTTTCTTTCTTCTCTCCTTCTGCTCACATTTGCGAAGAAGTCAGCGAACAGGATATGACCTCCCAGCCATCCCAAGGCTCCAGGATAGCGACCAGGTTTGATTGGCCCCGGACGAACTCTAAGAGCTCTTCGTCAGTGAACAGGAGGAGAAAGGCTGAAAGGACAAGAGAGGGGGATAGATAGCACAGACGATCGAGATACGGAGGGGAGGGGGAAGGAGGAGGAAGGAGGAACGAGGGCGCGAGGAGAAGGGGAGCAGTGAAGGCAGGAGGGGGTAGGAGAGAGGAGAAGAGGGGCAGGAGAGGAGGGGCAGGGACCTGAGACGGCAGCTTTCAAACGTCCAGTTGCCGGCGCCAACAACGATGAGCGAGCCCTGACCCTCTATGAGCACAAGGAGACCCGCAGCTGCTCTTTCCTCCTTGTCGATCCTCGTTGCCTCCCATCCCTCTCCTCCACACTTCACTTCTTCCTCTCTCGCTTCCCTCACATCCTGACCTCGCTTCCCTCTCTCCCCGCTCCCTTCTGCTCTCCAGTCTCTCCTTTTCCTCCGTTTCCCTCCCATCGTCCCATCCCTTCTCCCCCCCCTCTCCCCCGCGTTTGCCTCCCCCCTCCCCTTCTTTCTCACTAGTCATCACCCCATTATCCTTGAGGCAGACGACACGCCTGAATGACCCTGAGGTTCGAGCCGACAAAGCCCACCCGCCCCCTGCCACCATCAGCGTCAGCCTCCTAGTACTGCGATCTCTGCAGAGGAGGAAGGGGCAACTGACAGAGGAACGAGTGCAGGACTGGCCGAAGTTTCGTTGAGCCTAGTGGGAGATCAGTGAGCAGGGGAACAAGTGACGGATCGCCAGGAGGACTTGACAAGGAAGGAAGGGAGGATGAGAGGAAAGGAAGAGGAGGGTGAGGTTGATGATGATGAGAAGAAGGAGAGGGAGGAGGAGGATAATCCGATGATCTTACCGGCAGCAGGTTCCATGGTCCATTGCCCCTCTAGATGTAAACTCCGGTTATAGACCTTCGAGAGCAGTCATCAACACTTGATCGGGGATGCAAAAGGATCGTTTTCCTCATCCTCCTTCACTCACCCCTAGCCAGTTGTCTGTCTCCTCGTCAAGAGTGCGGTTCTCCCACATGATGTGGGCACGTGCAAAGAAAAGTTGCCTGCGGTGTCACATCAGTATCAATCGCAGAGACTAGGGAAGCAAGGTGAGGCTTGAAAGACAAGTGAGACGTGCAAGCAGCCATCACGAAGAGACGATGAGGAAGAAGAGAACGGAGGAAGTAGAGAGCGGGGGAAAAAGAGAGTGGATGAAGGGAGAGAGAGGGCGGGAGGAAAGGTCAATAGAAATGAACAAACCTCCTGGGGAAAATTTCCCTCTCTTCATTTTCAAACACGGCTCGGGAAAGCTCCTCCAATGTGGAGACGTTAAGTACCTCAGGCTCGTCCTGGTAGTCCTGCGGAGAAGCAGGCATCTTGCGAGACCAAAGCTCCTCGTCGAGCTCTGGGGAAAGAAGACACAAAGTGAGATGGAAAGATACAGAGGGGACGGGATCACTCCAGGAACAAGGATAGACAGAAAGAGACGGGTACACGGCAGGACAAGGATAGAAAGTTTTCTCCAATCCTCAACTAGGCCGCACTTGGCTTGTAATCGAAGATGGGAATCCTGTTGAACTCCAGATCGTCTGCCATCCATTACGAGGTGCTCGGGCTGCATGGCATCGACAACTCACCGAGCTTGTCGCGCTTGGCGCAATGATCGCAGACGCATCCCTGCATGCACTTGCAGTTCTCTATCTTCCCATCCCACTCGATCGTCAAGTTGTCTGGGATGTACACTTTGCCAACGAAGGAGGATTCAGCTATCTTTCCTCCCCGCAACCTCAAGCTTGTCTGCCCCGAACGGTCATCAGAGCTGACGTCGGCTCATGTCTTGTTACCTGAGTGTTTGAACCCTGGAGGTCATGTTCACGGACATTGCTGATGCTACTGCCTGACAGCTTGTTCCTGGTCGAGCAGCAACAGCTCACCGTCATTCTTCATATCACAACACCCCTTATGTTCGAACCTAGCCCAGTGCACTCCTCCTTGCGTCGGAAGATATAGGCTTCCAGATCGTGACGCAACAGACACGCAGAGAAGCAGCGCAGCGAACTGAAGCTGCGGCAGTCGACCTCCCATCCCTCCGCCGCAAGCTTCACAACCGAGGGTCTTGCTTGTAACACTTGAGAACTGATTGTTGTACAAACGCACAGCTACACTTGACGATCCTGAAGACTCATGATGGAGGCTTTACCACAGCATCGATGAAGGTGAGGAGGACACGTTCAATGCTATCAAGTCAGAATCAGTTTCAAGCCAATCTCATACTCCCTCTCCTCGCTCTTCTCTCATCAATCGATTTTTTGATATTTCACTTATTTCTGTTCCTTCAGTCGGCAAAACATTCCTCTCTTCCATCAAACATTATTCCCATCACAATCATCTGCATGAAAATTTCTTCTTTCAGTCTTGTCTTCTCCATCTGCTTCTCCTTCTCTCTTCTCTTTCTTCTCCTTTCTCCGTAAAGCATTGCTCTTTCATCGGACGCAACTGCCCTCCACACCGTGTTTATACCTGGTTGTGCTGCCTTCACTGCCTTCTACTGAACATATCTGAGGCAGACCTGGATGTTTTTGTAACTAGCGGCCCGGTGGGCCCGGGGCCCGGCCGCCTTCGCATACCGGGCGGCAGAGGCACTGAGAACCGTTGGAAGTCTAGAACTTCGCGCTTGCGAGGATCCAACGAGGCTCGAAGTTAATGAGGCGGTGGAGGTAGGGTAGTGGTATAGAGGGATGTGGGAAATGAGGGGGTGGGGGTAGCCTCAATTGGCAGAGTCTCGGAGGGTGGGGAGTGGGGTGGTGGGGCACAAGTACAGATGCGATCTTGGGGCTTTTCGGTCTACAACGAACCGAAGTATGAAAGCCCCGGCAACAGTTCCAATATCACATAGGACACCTGTAGGACCTCCGTTACCACTCCAAAAAAATGATTCTGTAAAAAGAAGACTAGTACCCATCCAACAGTGCTATAGGAGAGGGGTGAAGAAGTACATTTTGCTTTCGTTCGACCGTAAATTGCAAAAGTTCCACGGCATGCAACGAAGCAAGCGGGGAGGGAGGGGAGGGAGGGAGGCAGGAGGAAGGATACGACAGGACCAAACACATGCACCTTATGGAGATCATAGGAGGAGCAGAGGCGATAGCGTTCTTTGCCATTGTAGGTTGATTCTTGACATACCGATGTTTGCCAGGTCGTACTCGTCAGTGAGGAATGTCGCGCCATGGAGATATTAGCAGCAGCCCTGACACAGTCGGGGTGTGTGTCTTCCAGTACAAGATGCCAAGGCTCCACACGAAAGATGATGTGATGAAGAACATCGACAAGATCTGCGATCTTGTTCGAGGGACCAAAGTTGTGAGTAGCTCTCACGATTCTGATCAACCCACCAATGAAACCCTCTACGCAGGGGCTGCCAGGAATGGACCTCATCATTTTCCCAGAGTACAGCACACAGGGCATCATGTAAGATGGGAGTGAGGAGGCAGGATACGGCACGTGCGATGTAACTGGTGCGGTCAGGTACGACAAGAAGGAGATGATGGAGACTGCTGTGACTATCCCCGGGCCAGAGACGGAGAAGTTCTGTCAGGTGTGCAAGGAAGTCGGAGTTTGGGGAGTCTTCAGCTTGACGGGCGAGAGGCACGAGAGTCACCCGCAGAAGCACCCTTACAACACCCTCGTCTTGATTAACGACAAGGGTGAGATAGTCCAGAAGTACCGCAAGATCCTACCATGGTGCCCCATCGAGGGATGGTACCCCGGCGACAACACGTACGTGACCGAGGGTCCCAAGGGGATTAAGATGTCTCTGATCATCTGTGACGACGGCAACTACCCGGAGATCTGGAGGGACTGCGCTATGAAGGGGGCCGAGCTCATCGTCCGCTGCCAGGGGTACATGTATCCAGCCAAGGACCAGCAGGTCATGGTGGCCAAGTGCATGGCCTGGATGAACAACGTGTACGTGGCCGTGGCGAATGCGTCCGGTCATGACGGAGTCTACTGCTACTTCGGCCACTCCTGCATCATCGGCAACGATGGGAGGACCATGGGGGAGTGCGGCGAGGAGCATGACGGGGTGCAGTATGCCCAGCTGTCTATCAGCGGGATACGCGATTCCCGCAAGACCGATCAGTCGCAGAACCACCTCTTCAAGCTCCTCCACCGCGGATACACTGGGATGTACGCGTCCGGCGATGGGGACAAGGGAGTGGCCGAGTGTCCCTTCAGCTTCTACAAGACTTGGGTCAACAACCCCCTCCTGGCCCGTGAGCAGGTAGAGAAGCTCACTAGAAGCACCATCGGCGTCGCCTGCTGCCCCGTCGCTGGTGTGCCTGAGCCCTCCTCTGCCAACGAGATGGTGATGGACGGCCACCATGACCTCACCTGAGTGCCCAAGTTTGTGGGATAGGCGTGGTGGAGGACAACGAAGACAAGAGAAATGAGGTGGTGGTGGTAAATATTATGAGGAGGAGGAGGAGGAGGAGGAGGAGGAGGCGGTTTCTCATCCATAGACTCTGAATTGTGAGCTCGTACGTGTGATCCAGTGAAGTTTAAAAAAATAAATTTGAATTTCAAAACTTTTTTTTCTCGTGCCGCCGTCAAGTCACTGCTGCTCTCTTCAACGCCAACGGGCCCTGGGGAAACACTTCAGACGAAGACAGCAGAGAAAGAGAAGCAAAGAAACGGGGACACTAGTGACAGATGAACAAATAAAGGGGAAGAGAAAGAGCGGACAAAGGGAACAACAAACTTTGTGAGGGCCAACCTGATAGAAATGATGATAAAGCACCCCGATCAATCTCCCAACATTGAAAACGAAGTAAGAGCACCAAACTCCCGGCAAGCTTGTCCCCAGTATTGGGATCGTGAGCTGCAGCACGATCATTGCCAGGACTGTGTTGACTGCTAGCTGGCGGAAGGCTCTATGCCCCTGCATCACTCCCTCTCCAACGAAGACAACCCCGTTCATGATCTGCATGGCAGCGCTGATGGTGAACGGGACGCGCGCCGCCTCCCTCACCTCTTCCAAGGGCGTGAAGACGTTGAGCAGGGGGATCATGGAGAGCTGGACGGCTGCCAGGATGCAGCCCACGATGAGGCCCCAGATGAGCATGCGGTTGGCTGTGTGCCGAGCAGACACAAGGTCCCCATCTATCGAAGCCGTCGCCATGGCCTTGGGAACAAGGATAGCAGCCACTGTGCTCATGGCAAGCAGGATGACGCCTCCGATAGACCAGAGCTGTGTGGCGATGGTGTGTGCTGCTGCCGACGTCCCCGTCAAGTCCATCGCCTGGATCCTTCCACTGCCAACGATGAAGACAGAGTTCATGGCCAGAGTTCGCAGCTGCACGCTGAAGCCTGCGCTCATGAGTTCTGAGATGGCAGCTAAGGTCGGGACGCGGAACAAGGAGGAGGACTCGATGAATTTCTTCCGGAGGAGGATCGTCAGGTAGACGGAACAAGAGACAACGTCCGAGATGCAGGTGGCTAGACCAGCTCCCACCACACCAAACCCGAGCTTGAGGACGAAGATGGGAAGCAATGCGATGTGGAACAGGTTCGAGAAGGCGCTGACCATGAGAGGCGTGAACGTGTCCAACGTTCCTCGAAACGTAGCAAATCCAACGGTCGTGAGCATGGCAGGGACGAAGCTGGCGCCTCTGGCGAGGATGTAGGGGACTGCGTACTCCATCGCCGGGGCACCCGACGGGATGACAACGGAGACCAGGATCTGAGGAATGAGGACCACAAGAGTCATCCCGATCGTTCCTATGAAGGTTGCGAGGAAGAGAGCCTCTGCAATGTGCTTGCGAACTCCTTCCATGTCTCCTTTGCCGTAGGCACTCGCCACCAATGGCGTGATGACGCTGGGAAGGAACCCGAGCACCCAAAACGTTGTTGAGAACACCTGGTTCGCTGCTCCCTGCCCCGCCAGCGCTGCTGCGTTCCCCATCTTTCCCACCCAGAACGTGTCTGCAGCACCCACAAGAGGGACGAGCATGAAGTTGAGGATGGCAGGGAAGGATAGGACGACTACCATCTTGTCCAGGTAGTCTCCCCTTGGCAGCATCCCCTTTGGCTTCTGCGACGCATCCGTGGCATTTGCTGCGAACGCTGACGCTGCCGATGCCTGAGAGTGCTTTTGAGTCTTGTCACTCAACCCCTTGAAAGAGCTCGTCCGCTTGCTCGGTACCGACCAGCCAGGACGGGATGTACGGGGAAAGCCTGCGGGGAGGCCGATAGCGCGTCTGCCAGCGCTATCCCTTGTGACGCCAGGAGAAGAAATCAAGAACGATGCTGCCATTGACGTCCATGTCAGGAGCCAGATCGAGTAGGTGAGCGAAAACGCCAGGGAAGGGTTCCTCCTCGACTCTACTGCCATGTGTCCCATGCTCACGAAAACGATCAGATCCTTGGCAGTGTATCCCTCAGCTCTCTCAACTTCTGTTCTGACGTCCTGCAAGCCTCAACTCTCTCCTCTGCTCGTGGACTTCTTCGTTCCACTTCTCTTCTCCTCTCCTCTCCTCTCCCCTCCTCGCTACGGGCTTCGTTGTTGCCTGTGCATCGCCCCCACCCTGCCCTTATACCTACCGGCCCCTGCAAAATTAGTCACCCTCCTCCCCCTCCATCCATGTCCCTCATTCCTTCTCACACTTTAAAATTGCTCCCTTTCTTATCCATAATTTTCAGTAAACACCAACCAATATTGAAATTTTAGTGAAAAAGTTCACAGAGTGCTTGCTCTAATAAGATCAGATACATCCTCCCGACTACTGCATGGCGGAAGCGGCTCGAAGCGAGCGAACAGGAGGAGACGATGGAGGCGACGAAGGGGAGCGCATGGCTGCATGTACACGAGAGAAGAAGGTTGAAGCTCTGGAGGAGGAAGATGAAACTGCAGAGCAAAAAGGAATGAGCGAGCACGGCGCACTCACCATAGAGGATCCAAGTGCCGGCAAAGGCAGCATAAAGAAGAGGCTTGGCAGGCAGTGGCACAAGTACTGTCAGACGCTCCCCAGACACTACAAGGGAGGATTGATGAGCTCAGATGAGGTGGATGCAAAGAGGGCTGGTCAGAATGTAGAGAGGAGACGGCCTGAGAAGGGGGATCATCATAAAGACAGCCACAGACGAGCAGGTGCTGCTCCTCCCCTCCCTGCATCACTGGATGCTGACCTCTTACATGGGTCAGGTCTCCCGGAGCATCAACGGTGCTCGTTCTGGATCGAACAGAAGAAGCGCCTGTGCTCGCGGCCCCGCATGGAACGCTCGTCCTTTTGTATCGGGCATCAAGTTGCGCAAGGGGCAGACGGTAAGGAAGATTCGTCCGAAGCAAGAGAGTGCGAGTTTTGTAGGACAAGGATCCTACCCGACAGGTAAGGCGGCGCGATCTCGACGGAGCCCAGCGGAGGGTTCGGTTCACCTTGTTGTTCCCTGCAGGTACGAGAGCCACCTGAAGCGATGCAACGTCAGGACGAGGGAGGACGCGATGAGGTCGTGCCCGTACTACAAGCAAGACATCAACAGTGGATCGCAAGGACGTCCTTTGCCTTCCTCTCAGCCTGTGATGAGCGATGCGGAGGACCCTGTGGGATTCGTGGGGCGTGTGAATGAGAATTACGAAATCCACGTCAGGGCAATCGAAGAGGTGAGGATGAGAAATGGATAGTTTCAAAATTGATTTGATCAGGAAGCGAGAGAAGCAGTCATTGCGTTGCAGTGTACTCTTTGACCTGGCTCAAGCCGGCGGGAAAAGTCGAACGGATCCGAATGGAACTCTTTACAAACATCTCAAGCAAGATTCTTCGCTGATCTCAAACATGGAAGACAAGGGATTGCTCAATCATGTCACGGATTCCACGTTCATCGGTACTTCAATTCAGCTGTACATGACTTTTGATGATGATTGTTCTTTAGAATTTGGGGCTGGCAAAGCAATGCTGTCTTTGTCATTAGTACAGGTCTGCTAGTCCAATCTCGATTTTGTATTGACCTCGAGGAAACGGTTGACAGTGTGATGAGGCGGTCAACTTACTCTTGGTTGAGAAGGACAGCGGACACATGAAGGGGAAGGTCTCTCATAGCTGGACAAGGCCGTGAGGTCTCTTACGTGCTCCATACAGGCCGATCGAATCCTCCGCCTCCGATCCCGTGGAGCTTTCCAGCGGCTGACTGTCGACATCCGGCACCTTGACCTCAGGGCAGTTCCCTGCGGAGAAATGTAAGGGCAGCTGCATCTTCGAACCAGGACTCTGAAGGGTTCTACCTTAGACCTCTCATGAGTAGCGTCGTTGGGATCTCCAAGCACCTTTGCGGAGTAGCCACGGACCTTGCGTTGCGATGTCTGGTGAACTATCACCACAGTGGAGGTCTCCAAGGCTCGATGTGTGCCTCTACATTCCGAGTTTGACTATCAGTTGAATTCTCAGGTCCGGGGGAAAATCAGGGGCCCAATGCGGTCAAAGGAATCTGCATCGCTCTGTGCTGTCATCACCTGTGCACCTGGGATGACTATGTGGGGAAGAAATTCTTCGTCAACGACCTGGTTCGCTTTCGCCGCCTGCCCCCTGGATTCGTGCTGACGTGTTGGGACACCAGCAGATAGGAAGGGGGGGGTTCGAGATGATGTGCAAGTATGCCTCGTGGGCAACGGGATGTCGACAGCATATGAATGAGAAGCAGAAAACAGGAGACAACAATGTATGTCATCTCCATCCTCTCCCTTTTTACATCCTCTCCTCACAATATGGCAGGTAGAGCAACAAGACTCCAGTCAGCATCATCACAACGCCAAGGTAACCGTTTGCAATCTACATGAGCTACTCAGTATCATAACGCTTGCGTGCGGACTGTCCAGATAACGATGTCGAGGGAAGAGAAGGTCTTGCTCTACATCTGAACTCGCTCACCAATCTGAGACAAGAGTTTTCTAGGTGAAATTCGGCCGTAAGTGCAAACGTCTCATCGACGTTGGGAGGGTCTTGTACGTTCGGGAGCAACTTGGACTTTCATGCGAGCTAGCGGCATACGTTTCAGAAGACTTAACGCCGGAGAATATTATGCTGATTGCATCCTGACCCTTAGAGCTCTCGATCGGTCAGCAAACCTCATTTTTTCTTGATGGATAAGGTTTGCCTCCAAATCCACCGAAAAGAACTCAATCGCTCTGGTGCGATACCTAAGGAATTGAGAGGAACTTCTGATGCTTCTGAATGAGCGGTCATTTTCGTGCCTGCACACTCCTCTACGAAAATGTCGTGGCTTGATAGTAAATTGAAGTACTGTGATTGAACAGGGCATCAAGATATATTTCTTTTGTGCGAAAAGATATCATTTGCGGCAATCATTTTCGCTGCAGAGTTTGTAAGGAAACAACAGGCATTTATTCAGTGAAGAGATCTATCATGGAGCCGGTGGCTCCTACTATTTGTCGCGTTCTCTTTGACGATATCAAAGAAATACAATAAGAAAGCGCTCTCAGCTGCTTTGTCCGACAGGGGCATCTGTACTCCTTATAACGAATATGGTCTTCACCGTTCAGATCGCAAGATCCGCAATCGCAATGGCAGGAGCATTCAGATTCGACGTCTCTAGTGGTTTCGGAGGACTCGTCGCTGGTCCGATCGAGCTCTTCTGTGTGCGGGGTGTGCGACGAGATGAGGATATCCTTGCAGACGATGGTGCATTCGTGGACGTGCATGGTGTCTATGATATCTATGGAGTCAGGGAGAAGCGGAGAGGATCGGTGGACGTTTGTGGACGAGGGTGACGGACAAGACGATGAGGAGCAGGATTTGGAGCAAACAGATTTACTCCAATTAAAGCCGGTTCTAGAATGATAGGGTGGGGTGGATGACCGTCGAGTCATTACAAGGGTACTTTAGGGAATTAAGGTGGGTCATATCCGAGGCAAACTGAACTGAGGGGGTGGGGAGGGGGGGGGGAGAAGGGGGCGCGGTCGGATGCGCAGGCTGGAACTTGAAATGAAAAGTAATCTTTTCGAGAGAGGGTGTCATCGGTCCCTCGAAGATACCGATCTCTGGACCCGAAACAGATCCGTTTCGTGCACAGGGGATGGATGCTACAACCTTATAGTCTGCGAAATGAGTCCCTCCGGCAACGGCTCGGAACCCTCCCACTCACTGATCGTTCTTTTACTTAACTTTGAGTAAACCAGATCGGACGGTCGTAGAGCGTTGGGGCCCCTTCAGCCCTCACACGCTCACTGCCAGTCGTCACGCGTGAGTAGAGCCTCGGGCCTTCAGCCCTAATACGTCCAAGCCTTGGGGGCCCTCCCTCACAGCGGCCTCACCGAGTCAGCCGTCCCAGTGTGAAAGTCAAACTTGAAAGTTTCCCCTTGCCACGCTTTGACGCTGTGTGGGCAAAACTGCCCGCCGCGCTGACTGTCACAAGCCCCGGTGCGTTCCGCCGCGCCCGCCGGCGGCTGACGTTCACAGACTGTGTAGGAATTAACTGGCACGGGGGGTCAAACTGCCCTGAGGCTGAGGCCCACTGAGTCCGGCCCTGAAAGATCGGATGACCGCCGAACTTCGGAACAAACATGCCACACTAGCTGATTTTTAACTTAACTTTGAGTAAAGAGCGGTCAGGCGACCGGTTGAAGGGTTGGCAATTTTCTTTCTTGCACTCTCTTGGTTTTTCGAGCCTCCGAAGTTCAACTTCGGCACTCAGTCAAATTTAAATAGGGGTGTACTGATTTTTCACTTAACTTTGAGTAACTTAAAAAGGAATGGGGAATACCGGTACTCATGAGAGCCTTTATTGCCAATTCAACCCCCGCAGCTGAGGTGGGCATGGGGGATCAAGGGCTGTGCGCGCATCACGCTCGTCAGACGGTAAGGAGGGAGGGATGGGAGGGAGTGATGGAGCTGAGGAGATGGATGGATATGCTGGGAGTGATGGAGCTGAGGAGATGGATGGATATGCTGGGAGTGATGGAGCTGAGGAGATGGATGGATATGCTGGGAGTGATGGAGCTGAGGAGATAGATGGATATGCTGGGAGTGATGGTGCTGAGGAGATGGATGGATATGCTGGGAGTGATGGTGCTGAGGAGATAGATGGATATACTGGGAGCGATGGAGCTGAGGAGACAGAGGACAGACTCCTTACTGTGGACTTCACTTGGTCTGCAGCACTCGTGCATTAAATCGAGAAAGTCGAGGTTGGTGAAGAGTCCTGTGTGTTGATGATGGAATTAGGCACAATCGACACAGGATCTCAAATGGGAGAAGCCTGCCAACGTCAAGGTTGTGCTGGGATCGCAGAGCTTTTATCGCAAGGCTTTGGTGAACAGCTTGTTTGCAAGGGGTGCGATTATGTTCTTATGCTAGTGTAGTTGGGCGATCTTGGGATCGAGTTCGAGTGCTTTCCAGCAGACATCGATGAGAAGGCCATCCGCTTCGATGACCCTGAGGTATCTTCCTTGTGCTGCAGGATGGGGAGGGTTGAGCAAAGGGAAAGGAACTTGTCAAGGCAATCGCTAACGCAAAGGCCGACACTCTGTTGAGCCGTCATTGTCGGGAGGGAGTATGGTTCGATCTTGATGCTGCTGCCTCATCCTCGCATCGACTCCGATCTCGCAGGGTCAACCCAGATGGCTCCAAGCATGAAGGAGTGACTCTCCTGGTTACAAGTGACCAGGTCTGCCGATACCTCCGACTCTGCTATGGCTCACTTGCAGCAGGTGGTGGTGCACGAGGGCAGGATCCTTGAGAAGCCCGAGAGCGAGGAGGAGGCACGAGCTTTCATCACCGGCTACACGACAAGCCCTCCTTCCACTGTCAGCGCCATCGTCGTCACCAACGTGTCCAACGGCAAGAGAGTCTGTGGGATCGACAGGGCGGCTGTTGTCTTCAAGTGAGCAGGAGGAGCTGCCACCAGCTCCCTCGCCGCTCCCCGACCCTGATGGCTTCAACGTAGGAGCATTCCAGCAGAAGTCATCGAGCTTCTCATCAAGGATGAAGCAACGATGCACTGCTGTGGTAAGGGCAACCACCAGGGCTTCTCTTTCGCACATCCTCCTCATTCGCTGCGCAGGAGGGCTAGTGGTGGAGGAGCCCAAGGTGCAGCCCTACATTGACCGCATCGAAGGAGGCGAGGAGGAGAAGGATCGTTTCTCTTCGAGGGAAGCTGACGCTATCTCAGGCATGGACTCTGTCATGGGCCTGGGAAAAGCTGTGACCAGGTCCTCTCCTCGTTTTTCTTCCAACTGTCTTGCCCCTGCCCTTCACCTCTTCCTGTGTACTGCTTCTTCCTTTTCCTCCCTCCTCTGTGCCCTTTCTTCATCGTCTTTCAAACCTTGTTTTTCCTTCTGACATACCCCGAACCGCCATGCTCGTACTTCCCATACATCCCTTCACCTTCCTATCTCTTCCTCCCCCTCCTCTTGTTCCCGCTCTTTGTTTCCATTCTTCTGTCTCCCAATGCCCTCCCCCCTCTTCCCCCTCCCTTCCCTTGTCCCTGTCCTACTGTTCTCATCGGCTCACATTGGGCGGCAGAGATCTTCTTGTCAAGGCCTTGGAGTGAGAGGAGGTGCGAGCGAGCGAGCGAGTGAGCGAGCGAGCCCAGCATGTAGAAGGATGTCTGCTAGTAAAGCCCACCCTCCTGTCCACTTCCCTCCGTGCTCGCCATCTCCGTCCCATACCCCCAATGCCTTCCTCCTCCAACGCACTCAGACGGCGGCTCTCCTATCATGCAAGATGGTCCGAGCGGCATCCTCTTCTCATCGCCAACCTTCTCCTTCGCCCAGCGCTGGAAGTTGATCGGAGGAGGAGGGGAGAGGCCCGACGGAGGGCGGGCAGGGAGCAGGGCAGATGGGGGGGAGAGGATTTATCGGGGGGAGAGCTCTACAAATAAAAACGAAGGGTGCAAAAAGAAAGG